CAAAGAGTGAGAGGCCAATGGTCTCTGAAGCAGGATGGAAAGAGCAGTGACTTGATCTTTGAGGGGGCTGAGGGCCCAACACTGCTCCAACTGCAGGAAGGAGAGGATTTGTCCCATGGTGAAAGCCTCAAGACTGACAAAGTGAAGTAAACCTTCCATGTCTGATGATGGACCTTGCGGGAAGTTGATAGGCAATGTAGGAATCACAGCCCCAGCTATTCCCCGTTCCTTTAGAATCTGGGCTTCAACAGCCATGCCAATAAAGACAACAACCAAAATGCAGGATGTAAATGACGACAGTAAATTCAGATGGTCTGTCAAAGACCCAATTGCTTATGCTAGATGTCTTGCCATGTCTGCATACTATAACTGCCTATGTCAGTCCAGTGCTATGAGGACCACATGAATGTTCTCCATCTTGATCCTGCAGAGCAAATGAGGAAGATGTTTCAGGGGAGTAGGGCCTAGATCAGGATGTATGTATCCCACAGAGCCACCAGACCATCCACTGCTTCCACCAGTGTATCCCTGCACCTGGATACAAACCTGTCCAGTTTGTTGTTGAACCTGGAGGTCCCCATCTGTGACTCTGGACCCGGAACACTTCTGGGTGTAGGGACCACTCTTCTGGTCAAGATGCTGGCGACTGAGGATGTCTGTCTGCCAATTGTCCATGCCAGGAATGTACACTGATGACAAGGCTGGAATGTAAAGTTCTGCCCTGGACAGGATCGGCTTTACCTCTCTTGCCACAGTGAAATTTCTGGTTCCTGATGGATGTTGTACGCTTCTGCCATGGGGTTTGCCAGACTGAATCAGAACTGGATGAACTATCAACGGGTTTGCAAACACTGAAGGGAGATTTCTCTGACAACCAAGTTTCTTGCACTATAGGGACCCATATGGAGGCTAGTGGTAGTAGCCACTTCCTATCTACGTCCATTCACTTCAGCAACTGTTGTTCATCATTCCTCATGAAGGCTTTTGTGATGGAAATAAGAGAGGACCATACCTGTACAATGTGTGTTAGTATGACTGCTTGTAGTCTCTACTGGGAGGGCCTGTGACAGGATGACTGGAGCAAAGTTAAGAGACTGGGACAGAGTGCTGTCACCCCGCATCAGGAAGAACCCGCACATGGAGCTTCATGTCAGAATCACCAGGTAGTAGTTTAATGAAAGCTGCAGATTTAAAAATATTAAAAATTAATTTTCAAATTACATTTTTTTCTTGGGAGAGAGCCATACTTAATTGATGTTTCATTAAATGTGAATGTCTCTGACAGCACAAGAACAGTGTATTCATCCTCGTCCAGGAAAGGCAAGTGTGTCATTAATCTACAGCGGCAGCAATTTGGGCTGAATCGGTATCTCCAGGGGTATTTCTCGGTTTGAGAGGTACTACAATGACGTTTTTCAGTAATGTCACTCGTTTCTGGCACATTGATTGGCTGCAATGTCACAAAAAAAGGGGAGGACCATTTTACCTCATTAGGGATTAGTGATGTCATCAGATTTGAAGACACTGACAAGCCACGGCTGTAATAGCTTCATGGAACTTGAAGCCTCATGGAACTTGAAGTTCCACAACAGCTGGAGTGCCGAGGTTGCCTTCCCCTGCTCTAAACCACCAGTTACTGAATTTATTTAACTATCAATGAACAATATCTTTTCCATTACCTCCTGATTAAATGGGAACAGTCTGTCCCCTGAAACTCAATGTTTAGTTATGTTGGATATGCATGATGGAATTAATATGTTGGGAGTCCAGGTCCTTTGTGCAGTTCAATTTATCTACTTGTTGTCTGTGTTCCTGTTTGGGAGATTTCTCCTCACTTTCCATTTCACAGGCATTAGACAATTCAGGAAAATCTCCCTCCTTTCTATCTATTTGACAAGTGTCAAACAGAACAGGATGTGAGGGTATTTCCCCTCCACCACCAATGGGGACAGAAGAAGTATAAAAAAATACATTTGCAATAGAGTGAGTGAGGTTCATAATCTCGGTCAGGATTTTATTGCATGGAATAATAGGTGGCAAAAGTTGCTGGGTCTGGATATAATTAATTTGGGCTTTATGACAAATAAAAGATGCAATATGCACTATCGGTCTCTACCCCCTAAAAGCTAAGAAATCAAGAGCAGTAGGCCAGTTTTGGAGCAGCCAAAACCACGGCATGCCTGGCTTATGTTGCATGTCACCATTCGCAGAAGAAACACAAACAAAACTAGGGGAGGCTTATGTAGGATGAGTGAGAACATGGAAACCTGGATCCTGCAGGAACGTGCACCTTTATCTTTCAGCAAAATAATGGTTTAAGAAGCATAAGCATATCAGCAAAAACCAAGATAGGCAATAAATGCAATATGCTATACAAAGTTGTTTATATTGTTGTTTTGCCTTATAATAAGAAATCTACCCTAAAGTTTGTTACACATTAACGTGGTCAGTCTTGTGGAAACCCATCCTGAGAACTGGTTATTGTAACCACACCAGTAATGGACAAAAACCTGAGTCAAATATTAAATGTGTTCAAAGAAAAAGTTGTGTTAAGGAACCTGGTGGGATAGATAGACTGTAGGAGCTGATACTGTCGACTGACCTGAAACAAGTAGACCTGTACCGACTTCGTTGGCTCACTAGTAAGCCCCCGTTCACATTGAACGATTTATCGCGCGATTTTTGTAGCGATATCGCTCATATTTCCGCACTATATCGCTCTATGTAGCTTCACCAATACAATTCAATGTAGCTGTTCACATCTCGTCGCTCAATGTCGCTCAATATCGCTTGTAGCTCGTCGCTGGTAGCTTGTCGCTTCTACATGACCCTTTTTTAGAGCGATTTTGAGCGATATTGCTCCTGATTGCATACAGCCCAATAGGAAGATGTCGCGCGACACGTCGCTCAACGTCGCTCAAAGTCGCGCGATTTGCATGTCGCTCAGTGTGAATGGGGTCTAAAGCAAGGACAAAGAAGACAGTCTGGGAACGTTAGGCTTAGGGGGAAAAAAAAAAGTCAACAATGGCTCCCATATTGCTATCCTAATAGCTATAAAGATTTCCAAGGAACTGGAAGTGGCCATCAACTTTATGGTTTACATTTCTTGCTGGACTGGAATCAAACCAGATCAATACAGTGATTTCCTTAAAGAATCCTTGCATTTCAGGGCTGGATTGCAATACCACATCTCACCTATAGGTGTTGCTGCAATGGATTTTTTGACATTAAAACACTTGGCAGCTGAGAGAGGGAAACCAAACAATTTCTTTGATATACCAATTTAAGGGAATTTCGTTTTAAAATATTAAGCTACAGCCTAAAGCTGGCCATACACCGACAGATTAGCTGCAGATTGTCTAGGGTCAGATGTTAAAATTGCAACAGATTCCTCCATCTATTCTAAACTGTGTGGATGGGGGAATCTCCCACTGGGCCAAGCTTCAGTATCTTGCTAGTCGGCCCCGCTGGCTTTCAAAATACCTGAACAATGCCAGCATCCAATCAGATTGTTCAGGTATTTTGACAGCCAGTGGGGCCGACTAGAAAGATACTGAAGCTTGGCCCAGTGGAAGATTCCTCCATACACACAGTTAAGCGTAGATGGAGGAATCTGTTGCATTTTTTCCATCTGACCATAGAAAATCTGCAGATAATCTATTGGTGTATGGCCAGCTTAACTCTCTTTGGGAGAGTGTGGAAGGATTAGGTTTTAATAAGTGACCCCACCAGTTGAATGGCTGTCACTGGGATAGGATGTTCGGGGATGTTAAGCATCTTCATCAGGGACAGAGAAACTAGAGATGGAAGAGGTTAGGATGGCTTGGGTTTTTACTGGTGTCTGTGTTCCCACTGCAAAGATTTCCCCACCACTTCCAGTCCTAGTGATTGGTGATACTGTAACAGGAAGTGAGGGAGGGTATACCATTATTCAAAACGTTTTCTTAATATACCAAAGCAGGTCAAGGCATCTTATGCTGCTGCTCCTTCTCTTGTGAGGGACTGAATTGCAGGGAAGGACTTTGGCATTTGATAAACACCTGACCACCAAGTCCATTACAAGACTACACTGGAATCAGACCATATTCATGAATTGTTACTTCATACATCCATCCAGAGGTAACATTTATATAAAAGAAAAAAATCATACACACCAATTTTGGCTCAATCGGGTACAGCACCTGAGTCAGAAGAGTCAAAACAATCACTCAAGCAATAAAATGAAAAGAATCTTGAAAGCACTCAAGACACTGAGTCCATACAATTGCTGTATTTCCTTTTTGTAACACATGAAAATAACATCTATAGAACATATTGGGATACAGACGTGAAGATTACAGGCAAAAACAGAAATGCCCCCACACTACAATGTAAACAGTTGTTCTTTATCGACTCCCATGGATGACCTTGCTTGTTCAAAGCTATAGAATCAATAGGTTATTCGTATTGCCTAAATCTATGCAAGCAATCTCGTCTTTTGTAACAGTAAAACCAGATGGTACCGCGACAAAAAAAGTAAAAAAAAAAAAAAAGATAAAAGCAGCCCCCGTTAAGGTGAAGTGCAGGCTATTGTGGCAAGAGTGGAGAGACGCATGGACTTTGTCAATATGGCATCAACAATCCCAGTTTGATGTTACGAAGCATCGCAAGTTGAAGCTCTTTGTATAGCGGTGAAAATCTGTCCCCTCCCAAAATGCATTCCTTCCACGTGGGTCCTCCAGAACGTGAGCAGTTACAGTGCAGCGACAGTTGAGATTTGCAGAACTTAAGCAGTTTGTTTCTTCCCCTTTTGATAATATCGTAATGAATACTGACTTAAATCTAACGTTTAAAAAAAAAACCAAAAAAACAACAACTTAATAAAAATAAAATAAACTGATCTACAGTTTACTGTTTGATACCATTTTAATAAACTTCACATGCATGTTGCTTTGCTGGATCCAAAATACTTCATCCACTTATCGCTTACTTGCAGTAACTTCATAGAGCAGGCTCAATGTTTTTTTGTTTTTTTTTCTTGAATTAAACATGAAAAAAGTAAAAAATAACTAGGACTATGCCAGGAAGCGACGGAAGTTAATAAATCCCTCCTCCTGCTCAGGTCATCTTTGCCAGAAGATGTAGGTTGCTGGGGGAGGGATGTTCTTCTCTGCATGGCGAGCTTAAGTTCCAGCACGGTCCGTCTGTCTTTCCATCGATACTCCACCAATGTCCGTCCTGTCTTCTAGAACATTCTACCGGGTGTCAGGGGAGGTTACGTCAGGATGTTGTTAGTAAAGTCCAAGAAACGCTTAGAATACTGCTCTGGATTAACAGTGGAGATCTCTGCACCTGCCTGTGAAAGGAAGAAAATAATTATCAGTGCACCAAACAGACAAGGCTGAGGAAAATGAACATTCCATGGAAAACAGGATTCTTTGATTTGGAAGGAGAAGGGCAACAGTTGCTTGGGTGAAAAGCCAGGATGAGAAAGGTACTGGGATATAGGACTGCTGTAAAAACCTGCAGCGGTCCCTAAAAGTCAGTGTACATCTCAGAGGGGATGACAATGACCCTTCCCACCTAAAACAGCAAATTACACTAGTGATAGATGGGGGATGGAGTGTTTGAATTTGTATCTTATAGAAATGCATAAAAATCAAACTGATCTCAGTCTGAAGTGATATGCCCATCAACACGAATCCTTAATCAAGCTAAAGAGGCTGCCAAAAACATGCAGACAGTACTGGGCTTTATTAGAAAGCCCAGCAAGCATTGGAAACCGAGTGTTATGGATGCACCCTGTAAGAAATGGTTATTTGTAAAATTAAGTTTGCAAATAAAAAAACGATTATGAAAGTATTTCCACGTTTTCCACCAAATTCGGCCAAGACCTATTTCACACTTGTCCCTAGGGATGCACCGATACAAATACTGGTATTGGTGCAGATACTGAGCATTTGGGTGAGTACTTGTATACAAAGCATACCGTAAAAAAACTAAAAAATTGAAGCTTACCTATTTAAAAAAAAAAAACAACAAAAAAAACCTAACATATTTAATCTCACTAGTCCTTGGATGTGGGGCATTTATTCAAATATATCGATACTTTAAAAACCTTTCAGATGTAGCAGAGGAATTCCAGTGGTGAGTTGTCATCATGGGACAAGAAGTTGTGAACATTTAGAAGCCACTTAAATGTTTTGCTTAAACTTTAGCGAAATTCACAGCTCAGTGTTAGTTTAGCGTTGTGTACTCACATCTGTTGGTGTGCCCACCATTACTGTACTCTAGGCCCAGAATTTACTCCCAGCCCTTTATATTGGGAGTGTAACCTGTAACCACAATAAGCAGAGAAATAATACCATACTTACTCCGTGTTTAACAGTTTTTGCCGCATGTGCCGCTTTCTTTTTTGCATCATAGTGAGTTAATATGTCAATAATGGCCATGAAATAGACTTCCTTCCTGGGTGCATCTGGTCAGGAACAGAAAATAAATGATTTAGGGTGTGTATTTATTAGGCATAAATATATTTCCTAGTACTTTACAAGGGACATTTAAAAAAGTTTTTTTTTAATAAGACCAAACAAACTAAGTGAGGTATGCCTTCCATGTGCAATGGTAGACCTTGCAGGAAGTCCACTACCTTGCTTTTACCATCGTGGGAATCACAGAGGTGGAGATGCCCCTATGCCTCAAGACCAGGGCTTCATCTGCCTGGGTCAGTCTGGAGTTATGAGGATCATCAGAACCCCCTCCATCTCAGTGAAGCTGTGAAGGAAGGAATTGAAGGGGAGGAAAGGCATACATCAGGATGCATTGACTTCACAGAGCCATCTAAGCATCCACTGCTTCCAACAGAAGACCCCTTCTCCTGGGGACAAATATGTAAAGTCTCTTGTTGAATCTGGAGGCCAGGAGGCCCACATCTGGCATCCCCAACATGCAACGCAGGTTTTGGAACACATCTGGGTGTAGAGATCACTCCCTCTAGTGAAAGTGCTGCTGGCTGAGTTAGTCCGATTGCCAATTTTCCATGCCTGGCATATACACGGTGGACAAGGCTAGAACGCGAAGTTCTGCCAGGGACATAATTCTATCTACTCTTGCTGTGGCAACGCTTTCCTGGTGGTCCTGGATCTTCCCTAGTGGCTGCATGTATGCCACTTCTGTGGCCTTGTCTGCATGGATCTTGATATGAGGACCCCCCAGTCAAGATATCCAGCGTTGCAGACATAACCAAATTGCTTGCAACGCCAGAATATTGATCAGGAGTTGGAATTTCTCCAGCATCTAAGTCTCAGTTCACTGGCAAAGTGTCAAGGACACCTCCCCAGACTGGTGTCTGTTGTAATGATCTTCCAAGGAATCAGAAGGAAGGACTTCCCACACTCCAAATAGCTGTGTAGTCCATTAGACTGTGCTAGCTACTGTTTTAGTCAAAAGGTGGTAGTTGCTAGTTTTCTCTATGGAATGCCTGTACAGGAAGTTCAGTAGCTTTTCCCTCCATGATTCCATACCTGGAGCAACCACCCAAATTTTTATCTTACATCCAAAATGTTTGCCTTTCTGATAGGCAAAGCTCTGGGCAGTGTTGGTGCTTGCCACTACCATTCCCCCCGGCACATTATTATGAGGCCCTGTGTTACTAGCCAACAGGAATATGAGTGAGGCAGAAAGGGGAAGGCAAGTTTCAGCACTATAGGTGCCAAAGTTTTGCCTGTCAGAACCTCCCAGAATTCAGCCATAGGGCTTTGAAGACTTTCAAATGATTACAGATTTGTATATGTACACAAAACACATGACAACATTAGCTTGATCTATGACTACTATCAGGTACAATGGCTATTTTTCTTTGGAGACAGTTGATTACTCAGGTTCATTTATTTTGTTCCAACTGGTATTGTTTTATGCAAGATAAGGCTGTCCCCAGGATGTTTGCTCATTGCATACATATGCAGGGTTGGGTGATATGTTCTTTTTTTAATGATTGCTCAGTTCAGCTGCAGTGTGCCTGTAAATCTGGCCATTAACATTATACTCCGATTGCATAACCTTCTTTAGGATGACCATACATGTGTAAACTTTCATTTAAATCTACCATAAACCATGTAATTCAAGGGTCTGACTGAATAGATACAAACTGAGTGGATTGCCAAGGTAAGCCATGTTATGTAGTTTTTGTAATTCTAAAGGATATTGTACAGAAATTGTACCTTAAGATTGTAACGTGTAATGCCAGCTTTGGATTTGGTAGTAGTGCTAAGTATTGCAAGAACCTACCTATAAAATCCAATTTATATCTGCACAGACAGGGCCCTATGCTACATTGCGTTGTTGGTAGATCTAAAAGAGATTGTACAACTAGATTGTAACATACATATGTGACCAGCTTAAGTCCAAACATCACATCACGGTTTTATAACTTACACAATGAGAATTGTTTTTTGCCTGCAGCAAACTTCAAATAAACTGTAAACTTCACAGAGTTAATAAAGTAACGTACTGTCATGGCTTTTAATTCCGTATACGTCAATAGCTGGGTCGAACTCCCCGGGAGGCAGCAGTTTTGTACTGTTCAGCGTGTTCCCGGGGCTGTCCGGAGGAGTGCCTACAGGGTGCGTCCCATCACTTTCGCCCTCTTCTTCCCCCTCATTGTCCTCGCTCTCCACATCCTCCTGCTCAGCCCTCTCCACATCATGGATTCCCACCAGCAGGCTGTAATCCATAAGCTTCAACTGTGCCAAAAACTAGGAGGACAGAAATTACATTTATTACCGTACAATAAAATGTAAGAAGCTCTGTGATAGAACGAGACAGTTGCAATATAACCGGCTTTACATTAACAGTTAAAAGGTTAGAGAACTGTAAAAAATACACATAATCAAATAAATCAATAGATATAATAAAGAACAGGAAGAAATGTCAGCAATCCATAATATAACATCTCTCTATTTCCCAGGCTGCCTAACTTTACTTTGTGCACAGATCTTATTTATGGGTTTTGCGGAGATAAGCAAAACGATCCCCTGTATAGTATTCGTGGCATGGAAACCTCACTGTCGAGAGGTGAGCGAACGCCGGTACGTGTTTGCTCACCTCCCGATCTACTAACCTGACCTGTGACAGTCTCATTGTCACAGGTCAGCGATAACTATGAGGTGAGTGAAAAGCACTCACCTCATAGTTCTTCTTTAAAGGAAACCTTTCTGAAAAGAAACATGAAGCTGCTACTGCTGAATTTATATTCTGGCTTTTGTAACATGACTGCTACATGGGAGAGTCTGCCTATACAGTAGTCAGATGGTCAGTGCAGGTAAAAGGCATTGCAGGCCCAGCATCCCTCGAGATATACAAGGATTTTATTTTTAAACCAAGGTTGCAATTCACAGTTCAGTAAACGTAAGATGCAGTATATTTTCCTTTCAGGTTTTTTTTTTTTTTTTAAAAATAAAGCTCAATGAAGACTTATGGGAGAGGCAGTGAGCCAGTAAAAGGAGTTACTGTTGCCATGGATGCAGAAAGACAGTTTTTTTTCCTTTAAGAGATACAATTGTTTTTAATATAAACACAGATAATAAATAACAAGATGACATTTTAGAAAACCATATAGAAGGTTTACCCCATTATCTAGATCAGCTATTTCAACCAGATTTATATTTATATTTAACAATATACTTTCAAAGGTTCCTTTTTCTTCTTCTTTGGAATTACACTCATAAAAGGTTGCTTGGTCAATGTAACCGGAGACATTACCTTTGCCGCGTAGCTCCAACGAGGATCATCAAACTGACCAATAAGTGTGCCCTTACTGGTGTGCAAGGTAGTGCTGCATGATCTATTGGTTACTGCCAGGTGGATGGAACCCAAGGTTTGAAGGATAGCATTGTGTAGGGTCAATTGTTTGGTACGGCTCTGCTCAACTCCTGGAGGACTCAACTGGTTCATCAGCAACATAACATCAGCATGTGGAAGGTGAGGAGTGCCTTTTACAAAGACTATATTATCCTAAATATAAGGTCTTTTGACTCATTGGATGAGGAGTTCCTTACCTTCCACACCTTTATCTTACTGGCCACTGTGGTGTTACCACTGGACAGCTGAATGCCAGCTGGCAGGACCAAGCCATGAAGTCAAGGAAGGCGATATCGCGCATTTTTGCCGCGCGATATCGCGAGAATTCGCCGGCCAATGCTATTCTGTCTTAGCTCCATGTCGCCCGTCGCAGGACCCTTTTTTCGGTGGATTTTGCGCGTTTTTTCTATTTTTTAATAGAGCCCGACGGTGAAGGTCGCGCTATAGTCGCTGGAACGCCGCCCCCAATGTCGCGCTATCCCGGCCGCGCGGATCTGCTGCAAAAGGTAAGTCGCTTAGTGTGAATGGGGCCTAAGTCATGTGACAGAGTGTACTCACGGTTGCTGGGTGCACAAAAAAATCTTCAGGCTAATAACAGCCTTCAGATTCCTGTTTTCAGACAGGATAATATAAGATAATTCACCAGCACTCAGTTGTTCAAGATGCAAACACAATCTTGTGTATTATAAGTACATCGCATAGGTCATAATGCAAACGTTTTAGGGCTGTGCATGGTAACTCTCTTAAGGCATCACTGTGTCACCTTGAAGAAAGAACCCTTCTATTATCCTGAGAGCAAACATGATGCCATTCAGTGCTGTCACTACAAGCACCACCCCATTTACCTTGGTCACAGCACTGCATGCAAGAAGCGCTTCTCATTGGTCAGCATTGTCAGGTGACCGCGCTGAGCAATAAGTGCTTGCCATTTGCCTGCGCAATGCAAAACCTAGAGCACAGGGCTGTGCTACATGGCAGTACGGGGTACAGAAAGTGGACTTACCCTTTAAAAACAATGAAAGTTTCATTGTGATAGAATCTCAGTAAAACCAAGCAACAAAGTCCTCTTACCTCAACATCTTTCTTTAGTTTCTCCTGAAACATCTTTTTGTTGTTCTCGTCAATGCAGATTTTTTGACCATCGTTTATGAAGTCGTTATCTTTGTAAGTTGGCAGCTCTTTGGCCTGCAAAGAAACACAGGGCATGGTGGGAAATGACTTGACTGTATATAACAGTGTTTCAGCTCGCTTCTTATTGGTCATAGGTGAAAGAAGACATTTGGAAGGCACTTGTAGGCCTGCTAATACACTCATTGGCAATAAAAAATAAATCAGATGGTACAGTTGCACACAGATTCTATATGGATCATCGAGTTGAGAACTGTGAGTGAAGCTGGTTCTTCAAAGTTCTTTTTGCTATGCCAGGAACATGACATCATATTCTGATTTTTTTTTTTTTTTGTGCCATTGTGTAGGCTGCCTTCTTTTGAATGCTAGTTTCTCTGGTAAAAACAACTTCCCGTGCAGTCTCTTGATGAAAGGTGCACTTTAAGGAACAATGCATTTTATTCTTACCGGGAATTCCTATATGTTCTCTTAAAACATGCAGTTATGGGATCAACTTGCCTCCAGCAGTCAAACAAATGCAACTCTATAGGTTGAACTCAATGGAGTTGCGTCTTTTTTCAACCTATGTAACTGAAAAAAACTAGGAGCTGTATGTGGCTTTTTCGCCTCCTAAGAACATCACACATCAAAAAGCACTGCAAAAGGAACTTATCCTATTCAGTATTAGCTGTGTTGGCAAATCAGCATGATGTGTTGAAGGAGGTGGCCACACAATTATTTAGCCTGGCAAACATTGGACCAAAGTACAAGGAAAGTACGTAAAAGTATCCTTGTTATAAAGATGTTCTCCTGCCTTCCACTCAAGAACTTCTAAGGTTAGTTTGAGGACTGTGTGATGTCCAAACCCTCACCTGAAACAAACTGTGTTGATGCTGTTTGCCAGAGAAGGTGCTGCCACAAACATCACTCAGATTTCTATGTATCTATTGCAGCACACTCCCTAACATCCAATTAGTCTTGTTATGGCTGATTTCGGAGAAGACTTCACACAGCCCTTGTTTTTTGGGGAAATGAGCTAAGGGCTGCACATCACCTCCCAGCCTCCTCATTCCCCTCATATGAGCGCAAGAAAAGCATGAAACCTTTCTTGGCTAAAGAAACCGCGAGCTTCTAAGAATACCAGCTGACTGGCTCTAGCACTTTCACAAGGATACAGGCCACAAGGAGTAGACAAAACTACTGATCTGCAAACCGGTTCCAGGTCAGTGCCTCAGAATTAATGAATCTGAAGGATAGCCAGGCAACAAGCATTTTAACTGACAAATCAGAAATGGCAGCCTACACGGTTTCTCAGTACAGGTTCCCTTTAAAACAATATACAGCATTGCAATGGGTCCTTTTGTTTCACAATGCTACATGACCATTAAATGCATTTGACATCAGGACCACGGCTGTCTGTTGCAAGTGCTAATAGGTAGGACGGCGATGGGAAAATATGATGAAATGAAAGGATCGGGGAAGCCATAATATGCATTCTAGTGAGCTGTTCCATCTGACAGAAATGTGGATTGTCTGTAATCATCTTTTTTCCTCCCTTTCTTCCTTTTTCTATTCCCCACTGAGCAGCTGACTTCTTATGTCCTGGCAGCCAGCCCGGACTGTCAGCGCTAAAAAAGAACTAAGCTTCACTAGAACCACTAATTTTATACCATATTGGCACTGCCGCTCCTCTATGAAAAGAGTGGCCACCAGAGAGTCTTCCCTCTCACGCCAAGGGGAAGAGTAATCTGTCTGAGCGACGGGGCTCTTGACTGATGTCGTATCAATGAACAATGAATCTACTGGGGGAAAAACAGATGCAAGAATGTGGCAATTGTTGGAGGTCAGTGAAGATGAAGAGGAGGACGGCTGCAGTAAGACATGGCCTGAAAGCAATGTCTGAAAGAACTGTGATTCAAATAGCAACCAGATTCCCTTCCATGTGTCTAAGGCAGAAATAAAAATACGGGGGAGAAGATTACCCACTGCTATTATTCTTTATGGGGACACATCTGTAATGCTGGGCCTAGATGCATTGTTTATATATGCTCTGGATACTGTTAGGAAATTATACAGGAAAATAATGAGACGGTATAACTAGGCAGATTATAGTGAGGTGGACTAAATGGCATAAAAAAAGCCTCTAGTGAATTAGTGTGAAGCACAGTAGAGGCTTCTTAAAACAGAGGGTATCTCTGAGTCTCACAGCACAAATCCTAAAATAACATTTATTCCTCATTTTATAGATTTGGCAAGGAAAAAAAAAAGGTGAACTTCCAGCTCTTGAGAGGATTCTGGACTCTCACACAGACCTGTACAGTCCTAACTGCAGGTACTTCAGACTGTATCTTTTCTGTTTTTATGTAGATTTTACAGTGTCCCAACTTTTTTGGAAGGCTGTTACATTGGGGAAACTGGCCTTAAGCTGCATCTCAGGATGAACCTACGCAGGAGCTCGATCAAGAACCACAAAGAAAATGAATATTGCACCCCAGTAGGACATCACTTCTCCCAGAAAGATCACTCCATCCAAAACCTCAATATAAAAGTACTGAAGAAGAGAGGTTAACTCTCGAAAGCTTGTATTTTATATATTTTGTTAGTCCAATAAGAAAGGTATCATCGCATACTACAATCTTCTCTACTGGACTAATACGGCTTACCCATTTACATTACATTACACACACACACACACAGTAATTGATACAATTACATGGAAGGAATGAGTATTTATATTTTTGATCCAGCCACACCTAAATCACTAGCTCTGAGTGGGCGCAACCCTTCAAGATCCAATTGTGATATGTTATTCTTCCATATGTACAGTCCTAGCCAAATAATGTAGTAAACATTTACCTTTTCTTTGTCACTTGCTTCTCTTGCCACAGTGGAGCCCTAGGAAACAAGAGATCATATTTAAAAATATATATAACACAAATAAATGAATGCTAATACATATAACAAACAAGATTATGCTAGCACTAGGTAGTTCTTAAAAGGGAAATAGTGTTATGTATTTTCTTTTTTTGTATATTCAAGAGCTCAGCTCAGTGTAAAAATGTATCAGTGTGTGTTCTGTTAGGACACATGTTTCAAAAGGAAAGAGGAAATGGTTTGCCTCTTTCAGAGAGAACACATTCGTTCTCCTAAGTACACTAGCAAAAAAACTGAGGCTTGCTTGGAGTGGGAGGGGTTATTGTGGGCTGACCTTACATCCTTGCCAGTGTCCAAATTCCTGAATGTGGCGGTATAAACCATGGTTTCAGGATGACCACCCTGGGTCCAGTAATGTACTCTTAAGAAATATCAATTCTGGAGCAGACTCACCTCTTCAAATAAAGCTACAAACATGTCAAAGCAATGAAAGTGCAAGGAGTATTTTCTTTAGAAAAACGTAGACTGTCAAATTTTGAGGCACATATCTGCTTGTATACTGAAAGGTCAGGGCGGGGTAAGTTCAAAGCAGAATATGTATGTTGCTTTTGTATGGAAGTGTCTATTGCCCCTAGCTCAGCAAGGGTGGTTATACCAATGCAGGAACTCCTGTCTCTGTCAGTTCTGACCAAATAATACCCCATTCGCCGGCTACACCCTTGTTGCCAAAGGCAGGGAGTTTTTGGACCAGTATGTGCCCCATCCTAATCTAGTCTCCTGTCTTGAGCAAAGACTGATAAAAGACTTATATGGGTCCGATAATAATAAAGGGGATAATGAAGTGAAATGCATTCTATTCTACTGACATCTATTTAATGTTTGTGAATTTAATGTCCTTTAGAGTAGGTTTCGCGTGGAAAATAAGAGACAAATCTGTTCAGTGTAGTGAAGCCCGTTGTGCCCATGTATGGACAGCTCTATATATTGTAATACGACTTTTCAAGGATGGCCCTGTAAATTCTGAATGCTTTTTATTGATTGCAAGATTATGTTAATTCCTGCAATTTTATAGAATGCAGTCCCAAACTGAAATCGAGGCAAATCAATATAATTCCAGGCTCTTGATGGCATGATGTGTTCTAGTTGAAGTGAAAACACTTGATTTTTTCCCCTCAGTACTTTTATGGAACACATTCAGTCACCAATCACTTACATTTTCAGTAGCTGTTTGCAAATCAAACGCATAACAGGACTACAAATGTCTGTAAAATACATAACTATCAAAGTGCAAAAAAATAAAATAAAAATAGAAGCAAAGCAGCAATGTATCCTGATCTCTGACGTGGCCATGTATTTTAATAGGATGTAAAGCGCCTTCAAAATGTCTATGTCTCTATAAAGATAGATGTTTTTCAGGGCAGGCAGCTCTCTTGTTTTTTTCAGGCTAAGTACTGGTAAGCGGCAATATAAAAAATGTTTGTTCCCGGGTTTAGATACACTTTAAATACATCAAGTAAAAGCATATTATTAGCACCCCATGCAGGGCAGCCAAGGGATTTGGTGACCACTGTGTTCAGAAGTCCTTTTCGAGTTACAATGGTACAGCCACTGACATCTCTCATCCACAGCAATATTACATTTACAGATCATGTTGTGGGTGTTTCTGATCGGGAGGGGCATGTTTTTCTGAATCCCTCCCCCAGATCAATGGTTGCAGTATCACTCTGCAGCCAGGAAGCTTAGCAGAAGTCAATACACATTATTGGAAGCCTGTAAAAGGTGAAGAATATAAGCAGTATAGGCAACTGCTACACTCCAGCTGCTGTGGCACTACAAGTAATATGTGGCATTGCAAGACTCTGACAGCCACAGGCATGACTCCCAGAGGCAGAAGCAATATGAGATTTGTAGTTTTGGCACAGCTGGTTAGATGGTTACAGTTCACGTTAAAAATGGAATGGGAAACGGGTTCAAATTAACTCTTAGTGCAGCAGAAGTCAAAGCCCTCTGTAGAGAGGGTGAGTGTTCCACCAGGGGCCCCTAGACTGCAGAACATTTCAGTTGAGGGTCAATGTATTTCCTGGGCCACAAGCAGCTTTAATGGAATTTTCAGCTTGATCGCTTCCTATCAGTGTCACTTTAAATCATACATATTGGTAAAGGTGTCATATGGCTGTTGCTAATACTACTATTGTCATTCTTTGTATGTCTAATGGATAATGATAAAGATATAGCACAAGGTCACTGAATTTTTTCAACAATTAAATGTCACTACCTTTAAGTCGTATTTCCTATACACAGATAGACGGTGACTAAAGACGTTCCTTGTGACAATCATGTACGTCTCTACTCCATCTACGTTTAACCGGTACATGCCCAGGAACTGAGGAAGGAGCGTGTTGCCATGACACTCCACAATAAACTGCAAATAAAAGAAAAAAGAAAATGTATTTATTTAAAAAATTACATTGCTTGGTTTAGAAATACAAATGGCACTGCTGAAAAATAGAATTTCACACAATAAAAAACTGGTACATACATAGTACATATGAAGTAGTAAACATGCTAAGAACCCAAAGTACACCCAAAGTACAAACTCCCTGCACTTGTAAACGGTTATCCGACATTTATCACCCAGCATATGGCATAGCTGTGCAGAAATTTTTTTTCATCATAAATGGTTACCGTGGAAGCTGATTGTTAACTACTTTGAGGCTAGGTTCACACGTCAGCGACACCCGGGACGCGCGATCGTGTGCTTATGCACACAGCGGTTCCCGCGCGGCCCCATTGATTCCAATGGTGTGACATCAGCGCAGCAAATCGCTAAAAAAAGGCACAAGCACCTTTTTTGGCGACAAACGACGTGCAGCTTTTTTTTAGCATGTTCAACTGCACGGGCGGAATTGCGGCGGGAAACCCCGCGATCCGCCCGGCACGACTGGGGTGCCATTAGAGAATAATGGCACCCACAGCGTGAAATTTTGCGGTGGGCGACTCCGTAACTGCGCGCCAATCCATGCGGTCTTGTGCATGATTTCCACGCAGTCAGGAGTTGCCCAGGTGTGAACCTAGCCTCAATACAGCACTCCCTTTAGTAGCTTTCTTCATAATAAATACAAACAAAAGCACATCCACACCCAAAAACAAAAATGTTATATTTTGCCGTTTACTAGCCCTTAGATGTAGTGGAAGCATTCGTTTTGATTTTTCAGGCTTTTTCCCCTTTTGTTTTTTACTTGATAATCCTTGCAATATCACACTTCCTGTTCCTGGGTGGCTAGACTCACTCCTCCATTGTATCTATGGAAGAAGCCATGGACTGACTTCAGTTGCAGTAGGGTGAGGGTGCTCTCCGCACACCTTTCAGCAATCCCGGCCAGTACACAGGGATGGTGCTTGCAGTAACTCCACGGATGGCACCGTGCAAAACGAACAGTTGACGAAAAAGGTCACCAGCACTCAAAAGGTTATAAAAATGAATAAGTCCTTTTTATTGGACCATGGTGTCACGACAATCGAAAAAAGCCGACGTTTCGGGGCCACGCAGGGTCCCTTTCTCAAGGCTGAAAATGTCACATTTTCTGCCTTGAGAAAGGGACCCTGCGTGGCCCCGAAACGTCGGCTTTTTTCGATTGTCGTGACACCATGGTCCAATAAAAAGGACTTATTCATTTTTATAACCTTTTGAGTGCTGGTGACCTTTTTCGTCAAATGGACTGACTTCAAACATGTCTATCTTTATTCATCTCCATTACATTGATGATGGGACTAGCAGTTTACATACGAGAGATAACATTGTTGATGCTTTCATTTAACCACTTCAAGACCATATGACCTACCTGTACATCCTGATATCGAGGTGGTTATACCACGATCATGGCTGCTGCAGGTAGAGGGCTGTAGAGTACAAGTGATTTGGCTGGCTGTAGAGCCGCCCGATTACTTGCACCGGTCTGTGACAGTCTAACAGACCCCCGATGTCTCCATAAAGAAAACATGTCAACTGCCACTGCTATGACATAGGGGCTTGTTAGTACACAGTAAAAATAATGCAGCCACCACATTCGAGTACTGGGAAGTTGCAACATATTGCACTTTTGTTAATTGGGTTTGGATACGCTTCAAAGCCTTCCGTGTTTAACTATACTGTTGTAAAGGCAAATGCAAATCACTCCAGTCATATAATGGTTAACTATAGTGTATACGGGTCCATTAAGCTCACATAAAACTTGTGTTGTTAAAACTTTAATGTGATCAATGTCATGTGTTATGCACTGGCCTATTTCATCCTACAGCAGAAGGCAGCGGATGAGCCCACAGATGATAGAATCAGCACATTTTCCCTCTTAAATGCGCTCAGTGGGGGCTCAGGGAGCTTATTAAGAGCCTCCAACATTCCACGGCACAGACCAGTGCACAACAAGCTGAGCTGGTTTCAATATATAGCTTGGTTTAATGTGTATTATTTATAACTCAAGAGAGCATCCTCCGAGTCCATTTAACAAATGGCTACATCTGAAGCAGCAGTGCGTTCACAGTGGTCTCAAATTGCAGGTAACGATAGCTATTTATATATATGCTGGAGGTTGTAGGCCAAGAACACGTGCCAACGTCCACACGAAGTCCCAAAACCATCTACCAATTCCCGAGTACGGGTAAAGTCTCATTACCCATCAAATTCCACACTCCTAAAGTGTGGAAAAAATCATCTCTAAACCCCACAAAAGCTACAGCTAAAGTAACACTAATCTCAGGAGTTAAATCTTTAAAATGTATTCAGGGACTGTAACTATTAACAGAAATGTAGTTTATTTCTGTATTACTCAGTTGTATATCCTCAAATCATCTCTGAATTGGTGCTGACACTGTCCTTCCTTCTGGAGGGGGGTACTTTTGTTAACCATGGTCCCTGTGCGTGTTGTAAAGTAGCCACCACTCCAAGCCCGCTCCTGTGATGGACTACAATCTCATATGACCCACTTGTCATGTCGGATGGCCAAGTGGTGTGCAGAGAAGAGCTGCTGGCTGTCAGATCCTGCATGTGCTTCAGGGAGGATCGGTAAATATCTGTGATACTTACCGATTCTCTGTGTGCAGAACAAGCACTGGAGTGATCAGCTGATCACTCCAATGTTTGTAAACAGCTGCGGACACATAGTACTATGTGTCCCTAATTATGAATGAACAGGAAGGGCTTTACATCAGTTGCTGTTCAATCAAGAGTTTCTCAATGGATGGAAGCACTCTGTATAGAGGCTTCTACCCATTCATAGGTGGATGATAGTAAATATTTTACTATCTCCAGCTTCTGAATGAATGGAAAGCCTCTGTACTGAGAGCTTTCCACTCATTGAGTGTTGAGGCTGCAGAAAAAGAGATTAAGGATTCTGTGTCCTCAATGTCTTCTTGTATTTCAAAAGGGAAATGTCAGGGGTCTGTTTAGACCCCTAATATTTCCCCGAAGCCCCCCAACAGTAAAAAAGAAAAAGCATGACGGGATTAGTAGTTTTACCAAAGCTGGTGTACCTAGGTTGCCTACCCCTACCCTAAACTCTGCACACTATGTACAAGACAAAATAAAAAGCTTTGCCTGGAGTTGTAATTAAAATTCCACACTTATAATACTCCGGATTCAGCTGTTCCAGTGCCCTTTCTAAGGGTTCCTGTCATTTTTATAGTGAACATGATACAAAAGGAGGATATCAGGGATGTGAAGACATTTGTTTAGGGGATTTTACAGCTCTGCCACCATGGGGGATGAGGGCCGGCCCTTACCTGGTGGTACTTCTTCAGGATGTTGTGCATCTCTGCCACATCTTCGCTTGTAATGGTTTTGATGATGTACCTCTTGTCGCAGGAAGTATGGAAGCGAGCACCGCTGCGTGCTTGTGAATCATTGGCTAGAGGAGCACATCTTGTCAGGGAGTTCTGAAAATGAGACAATAACAGGATATAGTAAGTAAAAAGGAACCCAGTTCATAGGGGGAAAAAATGGACATCAAGTTTGTGATGTTTGTAATAGGGATGCACCGATACCAAGTACCGTACTCGGTACAAGTACAGATACTTTTCGAGCTCCAAGACCAGACTAGAGGAAAACTCAAAAGTTAGGAGGCCGCTGTCATTTGTAAGGAGCACACGGAGCTCCTGGGATTTGTACATCTCTGTTTTAATGTACGATTTTGTTTTTATAAACATATATAAGGGATGTACCGATACCATTTTTGCAAGTACAAGTACCGATACATTTTTGTTTATTGTCATGTGACAGTTTTTCTAAAACAATACAGACTAATAATTTCAGGACAGTGGTGGAGCGCCAGAGCCCGGTCCCAGCTGCAACCGCTGCAGCCCTGGTAGTTCTCAAGGAAATGCCAAGTATCGGCACTGGTATCTGAACTGGTATCTGAACATCCCTAGTTTGTACTATACAGTCTTGTAGGTACTCAGTCGCTGAATAATGTAATATAATTATCAGAATCAAACACTCCTCTTCTTTTTGTAACACCGTAAAGTTCTGCAATTTATAGTTCAGCTTTTGCATAAAAATAAGAAATGCACATACATTAATAAAAGAAAAAGTGTGCATTTATTATTTTTTGCCATTTAAGTTTGCAAAACACTGCAACCATGATTAGCGAATTGTGGGTGCAATGATCTGGCACCTGCACTGGCTCCTGCACTTATTCTCCTAGCCCCTGTCTGTACCCAGGTATGCACTTTCAGCTATGGGATGGAGGAAGTATCAATGGACTATAGGTGCGGTGAACTACAATTCCTCCGCTGTAGTGGAAGAAAGTACTTGTAGTCTCTCCATTTAAAGATCTGTGAATGGATGACGTGGCCGTGTTGGTGCAGCCATGTTAAATTAAAAAAATTAATAAAAATGACCTTCAATTTAGGTAAGTGGGGGAGTGGGTAAGTTCTGGGGATGTAACCATGTTTCACGCTGCTCCCTAAAGATAGATGTGACATGAAACATGGTTACTAAAGTAAACTTAGCCTTCAAAAATATACAGTACATATACAGTGTAACAAAATGACATTTATAACTCTGTTAGCATTTTTCTGAATACAATCCAGTACTGTGTTCCTGCAGTTATCAGGTCTCCATATACAAGAGCGAGGAGAATACACAAATAAAAATAAAATGCATAAAAAGGAGGCAAAAAAACAGCAATAAATATAAAGAACACTAAATGACTTAATTACCAGAAATGCAAAATAACCCAAAATAAAGAAGTAACAAAAACAGTTCCATAATGTAAATCCTGTGAGGAGAGCAGTCGTTCCAATTTGAAGCTAGTATGACGGAGACTGATCTTGTCGGGAACTCTTCAGACAGAAGTGATCACAAACACAGCAAAAGCAACATTTGATGTACACATAATAACTATAGCACATTCAATTATTTTTACTAAGACGCATTGAGAGGAATTTACTAAGACTGGATCAGACAGATCCTGGAGCAGCTATGGATGGCAACCAATCAGCTTCTAGCTTTCATACAGAAAACGTTGAAGAGAGAAGCTGATTGGTTGCCATGCAGAGCTGCTCCAGATTCTGTCTGCACCAGTTTTAGTACATTCCCCCCCAGAGAGTTTACTTAACATCCGTCCCACTTATACAGCTGTATTGTCAGGTCTATAAATATTCATTAAATCCATGAAATGAAGCACAGTCAGCCTTCCATGCTGTGCCGATATAAGGTCTGTCATGACAGAAGGACATTTAAGGAACGGACCGGCCCCGTGTCTATCCCCAGATGTCCACCAGGTGGCAGGTGAGCATATTTTGTACTTGGTAGGACATGAAAGGAACCTTGTCTGCAGCATAGCCAGCAGGCATGAAAACAGACAGGTCATGGGGGCTCGGAGTAAAGTAAATACATATAAAATGCCTTTATGATTCCTGAGTGGAGTGTACAAGGCACATGGGATACGTCTACAGCTAGAAACACTTGTGCTGATTTGGCATTAAAGGAGAACTGCAGTGAAAAGTCACCAGTAAACCTTAATATTAGGCTGTTAGGTAGTCCAGTACTTTTGCGGTGTGGTGGGTCCAAGGGAATCAAAAAGTCCTCCAGTAGAAATAGAATATGAGACACCGAGCTTCCTAAACAGCGGAGATTTATATACGGCCTGGCCAAAAAAGTCACCACCTAGATTCAGCTAAGCAAATAGGTAAGAGCCTTCCATTAGATAAGTGTTATGATCTGGGGTTGCTTCAGTTGGTCAGGTCTAGGTTCAGCAATGTTATGTTCCCATCAATTGAGGTCAGCTGTCTACCTGAATATACTGAATGACCAGGTTTTTCCATCAATGGATTTTTCTTCCCTGATGGCATATTCCAAGATGACAATGCCAGGATTCATCGGGCTCAGATTGTGAAAGAATGGTTCAGGGAACATGAGACATCATTATCACACATGGATTGGCCACCAGAGTCCAGACCTTAACCATTGAGAATCTTTGGGACGTTCTGGAGAAGACTTCACACAGTGGGCTGACTCTCCCATCATCACTACAAGATGTTGGTGAAAGATGAATGCAACTCTGGATGGAAATAAATGTGACATTGCATATGATTATAGAAATGATGCCACGGTGAACGTGTGCCATAATTAAAGACGGCACAATGAAATATTAGGGTGTGTGACTTTTTTTTGGCCAGGCAGTGAATATCATTACTTGCAACCACCCCACCCCTGGCTGGTACATTACATTTTCCCTTGCACAAGCTTTTTAAAAGGGACCCTGTCACCACAGGCCACTTGTACACTAAGCACACCATGTAAAAAAAAGCCTCACATTTGCAGCAGCTTGTGTATTCAGACTCCAGCACTTTGCTGCTCCCCGGCGGCTGCAGGTTTTCCCTAAGGTCTCGTTCACACCTAGGCGTATTGCATATGTGCGTCTGTCGCGCGACCGTCGCGCGTTTTTTTACCACGATTGTGATGTTACATAGTATTTGGGTTGAATAAAGACAGGGGTCCATCAAGTTCAACCATCAATGTTGGCAGCCCCAGGTAACACTCTGTAGCAGGGGTAGGCAATGTTGGCACTCCAGCTGTGCTGAAACTACAAATCCGATCATGCTTCTGGCTGTCACACTGACTCGTGGCATTTGTAGTTCCACAACAGCTGGAGTGCCAAGGAATATCTCTACCCTATAGCATTCCCCTTTACTTCTCCCCCGGCTGTTAAATAAGAGTTTATGTAGGGAAGAAAGGGGAGCAGCTGGGCCAGTACAGACAGTAATTAGACACTCCCAGAAGGGGGGAGGGCTATGACGTGCAAGGAGGGAGGGGGCTGTGTTAGAGAACTGACTTTCTAGCAATTTCAAACGCTCAATGAAAGTGAATGAAAAATATTTATGAAAAGGAAGAAGTCAACATTTTAAAATACTAAATTTTTCTGTGGTTTTGTAAGTTGGTGGCAGGGTCTCTATGTGTCACAAGGACAAATAGAGAGTGTATGCACTAAGTTCAGTAAGAAACCTGGCAAAGGTTCTAACCTTTCCAAAAAAAAAAAAAGGTTTTAGTGTTAGATAAAATGTAACCATCAAAAATGAGTGTCGGATCGGTGTGTCCCCCACTGCCCGACTTCCTGAAATGCACAATATGAATAAATAGGCACTACACATTAGATTAGGCCTGTCCTAGCACTGCACCAACATGAACCGTCATGGCGGCCAGGCTGACGATCATTCTCGGTAAACCTGTCACAGCCTGAACTTCACTTAATCACCCGTCCGTGTTGTGTAACCGCCAGCCCACTACTCTAATCTGTGTACCGGAATAATGAGAGATTTTCTGCTAAGCAGAGACAAACAATACTTACAGCACGCCAATCTACACTCTGAATCATTCAGGAGCTATTGATGCATATCAAAGTGAAATCTTTTGTGTCCTGTTAAAAATAGACCGCTACGAGTAATGATCAAAACCTGTAGTGTTAAAAACCTGAGCAGCCCTCAGGGAAAATTAGGTGTATATATAGCACTAGGGAAAGGTAGATACAGCATCGTGCGAGTGTCTATTGGGAATGGAGAGGCACGCCTTTACCTTTATCAGAATATATGTCTTCAAGTTTACTTTTCAGGCCATGTTTCAAGTTACATCCATATTTAGGGCTAGTGCAGACATGGGCGATCCGGGAAGCGCGTCTCGGGGCTGTGATCGTGCACAATTGCACACTGCGATTGCTGTGTGGCCCCATTGATTTCAGTAGAGCTACATCTGCACGGCAATCGCAGAAAAAGGTACACGTGCCTTTTTTGCGACACACGTATTAGCCGTGATTGCCGTTTGATTGCACACGACTGGGGTGCTATTAGAAAATAATAGCACCACCGGCGCGATCGGCGGTGGTGGCCGACTCTGTGACCGCACGGATCCGGATCGGACCTTGTTTTTTGTTACACCTTAAAGTGACATTAAACCCTCAGATTTTTTAACATAAAACAATTTGTGGTTGCACCGCCTGCAAAGCCTCCCCCCAGACCCAAGCCACTCCCCCACTTACCTGAATGGCAGGGTTCTTCTTCCCGCAGGCTGCTGTCATATTTTTTTTAATTCAGCATGGCTTCACCCACAAAGCCACGTCATCCATTAACATATCCTTTCACAGGTTCGGTCAGTCACGGCAGCAAAGGAACTTGCATTTCTCAATGGAGAACAGGTGCAGTGATGTTACCGGTTTTGTAGGCCTCTAGTCCCTTAGCTGGATGTGCGCATTTATTATTTTTATGGTGGACTTTAAGTTGGCCACACACAGATCAAATTTTTTGTTTCTTGCTTTACTGGCCAAAGTCTGAGCCATCGGTAGCTCTGGCAGCCTCCCCCGGCTCGGCACAAATCGATCTGAAAATCGAAGGAGGCGGATGAAGAACTGTCGACTGAACAGTGACTGCAACCAAACAGATGC